AATCCAAGGATGGGAAGGGACCAAACGAACTACAGCATTTATTAGTTAGCCTCGTTCAGACCAAAAGCCCCTCATTTGCTGCTGCTATGTTTTGGAGGCTGTTTATGATAGATCAGTCGTATACGTTCAGTCAAACCCATGCTCTGACCGATGCCATGACATTTTCCTGTTGGTCCTCTCCTCTTCTCATCTTCTGGGAGGGACAGTGCCTCTCCACTATGGAACGCATGGGCCTTCCTTACATCTGCCACAGGAGGGGTTGGTGGGCAAGACCACATTATGCTTTGTTCTTGAATAGAGAACAGTTTACAATTTAGAACTAAATTCATTGCAAAAAAATTATTTATTTTTCTACCTAATTTGTCAATGCAATACGTAAGGGATAACGTATATTACGCATGTCATTATCGGAAAATAAGTACCGACAGGGCGAAGCGGACCCCGACGCGCCCTGACGGTACTTATTTTCCGATAATGACATGCGTAATATACGTTATCCCGCTTATTATACGGCTTTATACCAACAGAACACACAACATAAACTTCAGTCCACTTTTAGGAATGCCGAAAGGTTTCTTTAATGACAGAAAATAAAATAGTTCCCAAAGGCTTTCCCGTGGCTATGCTAGCAACAGTTAGGCTAGCAACTCCCAAACTAGAACTCTCTGGAACTGCATGAAAACTGAACAAAGCATTCTGAACATCAGCGGTGAGTGACCCAAACATAAACCTAACCTAAATCCATAATTCGATCCTCTGCAAATGTGTCCAAAAATGTGCCGGTATCTTAAAATGTGCCGGTATCTACTTCCGGGTTTTTCGGGATCGCCTTTTCTCGCATTACATCAGTGTTTTTGTCATGAAAACGTAAACGGAAAATTCTGAAAACTTCCATGCACTTGTATTAAGACTGGATATGTATAAATTACTCTCCGATTAACATTTCATTGCGTTGATTGATTGGCATTTGCGTTTATTGAGCGGACGGAACTACTTCGGGGTTTTTCACGATCGCTTTTTGACGCAGGGAAATAGTATTTTTGTCATGAAGACAAGACCAGAAAATTCTGAAAATGTCCGTGCACGTGTGTGAAGAATGTATATGTATAAGTATTCTCCGATTAACATTTAAGTGTGTTGATTGAGCGTGGCTAGCTCCGGAGTGGCCGGAACTACTTGCGGAGTTATCCACGCATTTGAAAGACAAGCAGAGAGTGCGTTGCCAAAGGGCAGCGGTCATTATGGTTTTGAGAGGTCCGTTATAGAAAATAATGACCGGTAGAACGTTTTGAAATTACATTCAAATCAATGTAGCGTTCTACTGCTGCTGTGAGGAGCCGTATAATAATTTTTTTAATTGCTCCATTTAATCCTGTTTTTTAATTGACTGAGTTTTATCTACCATTTATGGTTTTATTGTTTCATTTGTTATTTGTAAATCAACAACATTGTGAACTGTTGGTGTCATTCTGGTCTGTACAAAAATGTATTAATTTAATTTGTCTTCACTTTTACCAATTTACCGCTTTGACATTTTCATGCATTCCTCAGTGAGTTAAATATTGATCACTCTTCATATCTGAAGTGTGTATTTGTGTATTTACGGTTTATAATGTACAAAAAAGCTTTTACAAAACTCATTAAGTGATTTCTTAATTGTAATGAATACTCTTTTAGTCATGTAACCCTCCAGCTTCAGGACCTGCGCTGCAAGGAGATTTGAGAATGAATAGCATGAGGAATAATGCAGGGGAGACCTGTCATGGCAGGAGGGAAACCTCAGTAGTGGCAGGTGCTGAATAAAAGACATGGTGTTCGGCCTCACACCCAGAGCAGCGGCGAGTTTGGGGAGAATGCAGAAAGAATCTGAGGGAGTGAGATGTAGCAACAGTCAAGGCTCCACATCTGAGCGCAGGTGTCTGCTCCAAACACAGGCGGCTGACACTTTAAAGGCCTACATACAAATCAAATGGATCTGTTTTTCATTTACATTTAATTTGTATTATTGAATCATACTTAAGTTTTTATTGTTAGATTATAATTGTCATCATTATCATATAGAAATGGGATCTATACGCTCTACGTATCTTTAGTTTTTAAAGTAACTTCAACCCAGAAATGGATTAAGGGAAAGAAGTTGGATGGATGTATGGAAGGAGATGATTATTTCCTTAACAAGGTCATAACACCAAGAAAAATCTTCATTGAAAATAGATGTATGAAAAACATGTAACTAATCTGGCTTAATCTAGGCTTCTGTTGCTAATATAGATAGATTATCTGATTGGGGGGGTGGGGGGGGGGTCAAATGTAAAGATCAATGTTATTAGGGACCCACGAGCTCTTAAAAAGTGTGTTGAAATATTTTTTTCCCCCTAAAATAAAAAGTCATGCCATAGAGGGTTAATAGATTTTAAATGAAATTGTCCATTACCTTATTGGACAAATATTTTGTTTCTACACTTTCTCCAATATTTTTTGACAAATAAAATGCTAATGTTTTTCTATAAATTAGTTGTATTAAGTGAAGAACATTTTCTTTCATAGTTGGATGTAGGTATAGGCAAGAGTTCTAGGCTGCAGAACTCAGTCCTCTGCTCCCTCACACAGGACAGATTCTTTTCTTTTCGGTTTTTTACAGTTTTTTAAACTTGAAATATTGCATAAGAGTTAATTTATACATGCACATTTTCTTACTAACACTGAAGTAAAGTGATAAAATGTCATTAATATAGTTATGGTTTTAAAAAAATTTCATCCCACCAAATAATTATAGTTGATGTCAGAATATTTCTTATGTTGAGTGAACAAAATGTAAGTGTCTAGGCAGAAGGAACAAGAAACAACATTTTAAAAACAACTAGAGAAGAGGGAAAAATAATTAAAAAGTGCAATGATGGAATGAAAGGAGGAGGTGGAATTAGAAGGATTCCCCAAACACGTTTCATATCTCACTCTTGGAACAAAAAGAGAGAAGAGTTAGGGATGGGGATAAAAGTCAAGTGTCTGCATCAGGTCCCATGCTGCCGGTCCACAGAGACGGTTATTGATGACCATGAGATTGACACTCTTGTTGTGTCCTTATATATATATTTGAATATCCAGATGATTCTTGAAGTCAGCGCTAAAGATCCCATTCAATTGTTATTTATTCAATAGATATTATAAATCTATTGTTTTATGGGTTCATATAGCAGCGAATGTGTTACCACTGTATGTATTGGTTAGTTTATATAAAAATGTGTATGCGTGTGCGTGTGCGTGTGCGTGTGCGTGTGTGTGTGTTTGTGTGCTATTTAAACATATAACTTTTGGGGGGGGTTGTCTGACAGGTCGCGTCACAGTATTGTTGTCTAATTGATCGCTTCCGGTCAGTGCACAGTGCGGCTCTTGCAGCTGCACACAATACATAGCCTACTTCTCTTACAGATTCCTTATTTACGAGTTGAGTCAAAATTATAGAGGAGGCAAGGCTGTGTGACGTTTATGAGCATCTTTTTTATTTAGTTTTCTGTTGAGTAAATAAACTCACATTCAAAAGGTGGATACGATGCAATATACGTTCTACCTAAGGGCTAAAAAGGACTTTCAGGTGCTTTCCACCACAATGGCAACACTGAAATGATCATCTCATAAGAAATTGTATTATTCAAGAATCCTCATCTCAAAAGTTTCAAAAAGTTTGTACGTGCCCCTAGACCCTGGTTTGAGAACGATTGCTTTAAACACATTTGCCTGAACAACTCTGGGCATATGTATGGACAATAAGATAACATGTGTTGTCTTCTGATGGTGGTCGTGTGGACAGTGGACACACAGAAGACGCATGTCTTTGCGCGCGCTTCTGATGAATGACCAGAGCGACAGGAGGAGGTATTGAACAAGTCTGCCCAGTAACAATCGCTGAGGAACTATTGGCTATGCAAATAGACACACTGCAGGGCGGAGGAAACAACTTACAGGCAGTAGGAGAGAAAAACTTTAAAGAGATATTTCCCCGACTTCTTTCCATGAAGCGCATAAAGCCACGAGTTTGGGAGGGAAGTGAACAGCTCTTTACAGTATGCGCCTCGAGTCCCATCTATTCAGGAGTTCTCTTTGAAGTGTAGAATAAAAGGCGGGATTAACATATTTACACATGCAGATTGTGTCCGGGGGGAAATCATTTGGCTCTCTTAATGATGTCCTCAATGACCCGTCCGTTTCCACCTGCATGCTGCCTCATCTTTAGGCTCTTGCACTCAACTTTATCTTCAAAGTCACACAGCTTTCACATTTCCTAGAAAGCTATCTCATAAACCACAAGTTTGTCGCTGTTGAAAAAATTAACCAGAAACAAGTGTGCCCATAATGTGCGCTCTATATGGAAGCGGTGCGTGGGAGGTCGGTCCATTCTCGTGCACTCCCAAAGTGCTGGACTAAGTTAGCTCCATTTGTTTTGCTTTGTGTTTGCACGAACTGAAAAGAATAATATTTTGTTTTGGGGTGTTTTTGTTGTTAAACAGGAAGCATATTTCGGCTTTACGTAGACTTTTTCCTAAAGAAAAATGTAGTCTGAAAATGTACTGTAAGGTGGCGCGTAAAACTTGCACTAAGTGGACTGACACTTTTCAATGCGTGCGCCACAAGTCTGAATGTATGTGGATGTTGCCCATTGTCTGCTCCATGAATTGGTAATGAGGCAGCGAAGCTACATGCCAGTGGTGCAGACGGAGCAGGGGTGGGGAGGGGGTGCTCTGGTCCATACAGAGCAAGCGAAGCGATTGCGTCAGTGGCGCACGCAGGGCAGGCGGATGAAAGCAGAGGCGCTCTGTGGGGAGAGAGGAAAAAGTTCTCAACGCGGCAGAGCATAGAAACGCGAGACGCAGAGAGGCAGGACTAGACTGAGCCCCTGCAGTCTTTATGCCTCCAACACTTTCTCTTCCATCCCCGTAACGCCACCGCTTCCGGACACAAAGCCCAGCGTCATTTTCGGACAGGCAGCGAAATAAAGTGGCACCATGGAGCTGTTGTGCCTCGAATTGGACACGAATATACGCGCTAAACCAGACCCGAACCTCCTGTGTGATGACAGAGTGCTGCACAGTTTGCTGACCATAGAAGAGACGTATCTTCCACCGCCGTATTCCTATTTCAAAGGTGTCCAGAAAGACATTCAGCCTTTTATGAGGAGGATGGTCGCCACTTGGATGTTGGAGGTACAGAGAGCAAAGGGTCGTCATTCTGTGCTTTTAAAAAGTTTGATTTCTCTGTTGCTTTGACAAACGTCTGCGTGCAATTTTCTTTCGCATATACACTCCCAGCCCTCCGAGTGCGTATTCCTCATAGTCAGTGCGTGTCATATTGTCAAAGTGCCCTTAAAATGAGCCGAATCGATTGGACTTCAAACTAATTTCTGCTCGAGAACCTTGAGATCATGCTCCTAGCAGTTGTTTGTGCTCGTATTATTTAATTTATGCTGAATATTTCCATGCACACGTATGCACAACGCAAGTCGGCTCAGTGCTCTCTGATCGCCATGTTGGTTTTACAGGAGCGCTCGCTCTTTTAACAACTGTTTATAGTGTCATAAACGCAATAACAGCACTCGGGACGTATAGCACTGCATAGAAGAGGTTCTCTAGTGTCATGCCAAACGATGAATATTGACGAAAAGTGCTTCTTATATTTTATAAATATATTTGAAATGTCGGAAGGGCGAGGGCCTTATCAGACTGAGAACTCTCCCATTCGTCGCGATGTCTTTTCTGTGCAATTGTGTTCAATTGGTGCGTCGGAGATGGGTAAATGTACATGTTATCTATATGGGAGCACAGAGCACATCCTCTGCTTTATTTTCATGTAAGATATGTGTGCCTGCGACATCACATTTAATTTTTTTTAATTTTTGAAATCACAAACGCAACAGCACTGCTGTGACGCACTCATTCTGACTTCGTGTTCATCTCACCTTTTGCCATTAAAGTCCAAAAATCTGCGACAGCTTTATTATAGGAACTGTCGGGTTTGATAGAAAAGGGTCTCTTGGACATTATCATGTGAAAAAAGTTGAAGTTGGTAATTTATTTGTATTTTTAAATATTTTTTGAAAATATGACGAATGAAGAAAAACGTGTTTCCGCATGCTGCTGCTGTGGCGCTGCTGTGTGTTTGTTTCTTTTTGGCACAGTGCTTTGTGACTTGAATTGATTTTATATAGTGAATGGGAATGTGGAATGCCATTCTTTTGACATTCAACCTGTTTGGAAGCTTTGATAATATTATGGATAATGAATGAATTAAAACGGGTTTGCGTGGTTCCAGGGCTGGGCGCAATTTGTTGGCTGTGCACCAACTATGCGTGTCACTGAATTTATATGCACTTTTTATGTGAAGAGTCTTTCAACCCAAGTGGTCTCTAATGCTCTATATGTTTGTCTGCACAGGTTTGCGAGGAGCAGAAGTGCGAGGAAGAAGTTTTTCCTTTGGCCATGAACTACTTAGACAGATTTTTAGCCGTGGTGCCCACCAAAAAGTGTAACCTGCAGCTGTTGGGAGCCGTCTGCATGTTCCTCGCATCCAAATTAAAAGACACTCGTCCCTTAACTGCGGAGAAGCTTTGCATCTACACAGACAACTCCATCAGACCACAGGAACTCCTGGTAACGACTCGAGCTCCCTACAAGCCAACATCACTGTTCTTGTCTTCACATTTTCACAGCGGTTTATTTGGACAATATATTTAATAATTAAACTTGTGATTATAATTAGTATACTTAATATTATAATATTCATCGATTGCAATCACTTCATTTCATGTCTATCCCTTTATCGAACGTCCAGCCATTATAATGTGTGCAAAGAATAAGGTTTATAGCCCCACGAGGACTTTCTCCTTATACTGTATTGCATAAACCCCTGAAAGCTCTTTACAGTGTAGTCACTGCTCTGTGGTGGTCTCTACCGCCATCTAGCGGCAGTTATTTACATAGAGCATTGAGTTCGGCTTGAACAGCAGCCAGAAAAGTTCTGACTTTCTGTCAGATAGGGATAGACACACAGAGTTAGACTTTAATAGTTTAAATATTAAATTGTAATAGCTTTTAGAATAGTAACTTGCCATGTTTTCTATTGTCTAAAGAATTGAGTTCCTCACATAGTAACATAGTAATCATCTAATGCATGTCTAGTGCACTATTATTATTATTATTATTATTATTATTATTATTCAATAATAGTAATACATTTTTGTCCTCCTTTATGCACCTGCTTATTTCTGGTGTATGCAATGTCATCAGCACTTTCTGTTCAGCTGTTGTTGTGGAGGCTGATATTGTTTAGCTGGATTAGAATACCATGAACACTGTCAGGCCACCAGAGCATAGTGATGCTTCTTCTGTATAAGGCAGTATTCTGGCTTACATACAAACACAGGAAACTGAGATCAGCTGCTCAGGACATGTGATCATTGCATTTTTTTTTCATCTTTGGTAACAATTTCTTGTAAAGAGAACCACAGTGTTACAAAGAAGGTGTGACTAGAGGAAGGCAGTAGCAGAAGGAAGTGGTGCTTGCCACTCTGTCAGCATATAGTGTTGCAAGGTGTACACTTCACATGGGGTTCTTTCAGGCCAAATGCGTTAATGTACAATTACAAGGCATCTGCTTTTTCATTTATGGTATAGGTTATGCAATATTTAATAATTTTTGCGTGCAATAGTACTTAGCAGATGTGTTTTTTTAAACACTCTACTCTATGTCTCTGAAAGGGAAACATTAAGAGCATCACTGGTCCCAGTCAGTCGCAAGGCTACAGCTCAGAACTAAACTACTGAATATTTTCCCAAATTAGTCATCAGCTAACCTTCCTCTTGCTCATTTCTTATCCAGGAAGTGAAAGCAAGATATTCAAACATGTACCACGTTTATGTTTATTAGCATGCAATTCTCAGCAGTAGTGACAGCTGGGGACCACACAGACCTCTTCGTTAAGCTATCTTATGCTATCAAATTTAAAATGCACTTTACAATTCCTTCTAAAAATCCCCAAATGTGACTTACTGCTGCTATGGAGATACATATTTTAAATCGATAATATGAGAATGGTTCATGCTGAGGTAGTTTGATGTTTTCTTGAGCCGCTAACAGCTTGTTCTTGCAGGAGTGGTTATGTAAGCACATGCGGCATACAGGCAGTGCAGCCTCTGGTGGGCCTCTTTAGGAAAGTCCCCAGATGCCAGACACATAGACAGTGGAGTGAGGTCACCTGGCATTCTGCTTTAGCTCTTTTCCACACTGAGCACTCAATAATTCCACTAATAATAACACATATGATTTATTCTATAGCACAATCTCGAGAATGCAGAAAACTACACATAGGAAATGAATAATGTTTTGCATTTGGTACATGGTGCTGGACACACTGCCACAATTACGCTCAAATATATGTAGGAACATTGCTAAAATGATTTGGATTTTAGTAGACTTTGGCTGTCGTTTAAGCTGGAGTACCTGACTAATATCATAAAATCCAACTAATTAGTTCTTCCAAGACAAGTTGGTTCTTTCAATAGTTTTCACATGCATGTATTTTTGGTCTCTGACACATCTTTTGATCAGCTTTTTCAGACAGAAAAGTGGACCACCTTCACTTAGCCAATCAGCTCTCAGCCCAAAGCATCAAATAGTAACTTACATGGTTCTTTCGTATAAGTATGGAAAAGAAAAATCTATTATTTCATTATGTTCATAGTTCATATATGAAGATTGCATGTTGTGATTTTATTTGTTAAGGGCATGACTCTTTCTGTTGAGACATAAAATCTGCGATATTTATAAAAAGAAAAAGTGAGGTACACCAGCTTTAAACAAGATGTGCAAAAGAAACAAGCAGTGTTGGTGATAAGTCATTATTTTCGTGTTTTGTTTTGTCTTTCAGTGCAGGAGAATACCCCTCCACACATAATCTATAAGCGCATGTGAATCATTAGGCTTGATCAAAAAACATAAATAGCTTATTCAAAATCCATTCAATCTTATTTATTGTTATTTATTTTATTTTTTCTGATATCTTATAAGTATTTGTGTTCCAAAAATAATATTGTTTTTGCCTCACACTTATTATTATTATTATTGCCGGCAGGAATGGGAACTGGTGGTGTTGGGAAAGTTGAAGTGGAACCTTGCAGCTGTTACACCAAACGACTTCATTGAGTACATTTTAAGGAGGCTGCCCCTGCCTGAAGATAAGCTGGCACTTATACGCAAACATGTCCAAACCTTCATTGCCCTTTGTGCAACAGGTGAGTCTACCGCTAAATAACTATACATATTATTGAGAATGTATCTTACAAAGACTCTGCATCAGCAGATACAGGGAAATCTTACCCGTTGTAATTTCCCATGATAGTGAGGGTTTTGAAGATGTATGACACGGCTGGATTCGGGCCATTCCCTTGTCACCCATAAACGTGGGATGGGGGTCCCAGGTGAAAATGATTCTGTTCAAACAAATCAGGCTCAAATCCTATGAAATCCAGGGAAGCCATTCGGACAAGTCACATTTTTGTATCTGTTCCAGCTCCCTTGCCTTTCCTTCCTATTTTGAGTTCAGTTTATAGTGCTTATATGAGTTTATTGTAACATAATATAAAGTCAAAACAGAAAAGGGACATTAACTGTTCCATGGAAAATACCACACAGATCTCCAAACAAGTAAGAATAAGTTTTATTTCACTTCACAGTGTGTAGACTGACTTGTAAATCACTTATAGCATTACTTCATTTTTGATAAACGGTTCCCATCTCTTCAGACATGGTGAGATTCCTTCTGAGGTTCTTGGATTCTCACAGTAGGTTTACATCTGTGCAATATAGAGGTCACCTGTGGCCATGTACTGTGTGTAGTCTAATGTAAGCCCCATTCTCGTACCTCTACTACAGTAGTAGGCCCACTGCAAAAGAAGGCCATGCATAAAAACCGTAGCTGTGTTTGCAAAGGAACAAGAGGGAGATAAGGACAAGAGCAGAAGACAGCGCCTCATTCTTAATGGCTCTTCTCTTTTGATGAAACAGTTCCGTTCGGGCCACTTGGTGAGATTTTGTCAGGTGGCGCAGGCAAGCTCTGTATTAATTAATAACATTGTCTGGCCCATTCATGGCTATGCAAATGGGTGAAGGGCTCAGCTAGAGACTGGGAGAATAGAGACAAAAGACCCAGTCCTTCCATTTCATATGCAGAACTATATCAGGGTTGGTGCTGCAGAGCCACTCGATTGGAAACTCCAGCATTTCCCTGAGGCAGGCCGCCAGATAATAGTCCAGAAACAAGCTCATTAAGGGAGCTTATGAGCCTCCATTCCTGCACACATACACCCAGCACTCAAAGCTTCCTCTTCCATTCTCATTCAATGCCCTAAAAGTTGAAGAAAGGATGGGTGCATGGGGCAGACAGATGCACCAAGACCTGTCTGCAGCTATTATTGAATTCCATCTCCTGACCATATTGCAAGGGATTAAGTTTTTAACTCACTGTCCAATAGGTTGGTTAAACAATTTACAAGAAAAATCAGAATAGGCTCGCCTATGCCTATTCTGTCTTTGTGCATTGCTAAATATTTGCTGAACAGCTTTTTAACATAGGCAACAGGTGCCCAGTAGTTAATTGGGAAATAGTGTGTGTTCATGTATGCTGTAGACTGTCAAGACAGTCCGATGGCTGAGAAAATCTGACATTTCCCTGCTGTGGGATGAATAAAGGATCTTCCTCTCTTAATTAAACACACATTAACCACATTTCTGACAGAGGGAGAACTAGTCATCATTCTAATCATTCTAACAAGCGATCGCCAAGTCATTGTGTATTCATTCAATACAAGAATCCAACATGAACAAATGGCTCACAGACAATTGAAAAAGATAGTAAATTCATACATGTATTTTTATATTTCAAGTCAAGATTTGACCTGTAGCTTTGCATCAAAGATACTCCTTCAGCCATCACACTCAAACATGGTATGAATCAAACCTGTCTGAAGAACTCCCCATAGTCCTTGTTATGACTACCAGGCAGTATTAGTGGAGAAATCCAGCCATGCCAGTCCAAATATGATGTTTGTTTTTAGTTTAATCAGTCATTTGGAACAGGGTAGCTGTGATGTATCCCCTTTGATAAACAAGGTTATTAAATATGTACAGACAACACGAGGCTAGAGAAGTTGCCTTTTATGCACATTTCCCACGTTAATTCATTTCAAGGCAGTGCTGCTGCTGCCACCCAAGAGGAGAGTATCTTGTAGGGCACCAGTCGAAGTGACCAGGGCCTGGGGATAGTTCCTGGGTAGGAGCACAGGGCCGTGTGGGAGGGGGCACAGGCAGCAGAAAGGCTCATTGAGAACGAGAGGAGCGTGAGCCAGACTGGCCAGCCGCTGTGCACAGGCAGCTTTCCATCACAGGCGTCCCCACTCAGCTACATACACTGTTTATCCTCCACATGAATATCAATGAGGCCTTCCTGAAACACAACCATTCTTCTCCACACATGCAGTGGCCACCAGTCTGTGGTGTCGACTCACATCGGCTGCACGCGCACATCCTTGTTCTCTCACAGACCTGTCTTGTTTGGAGTGCATAAAGTCAGCTTGCTGCCCACTGCCCACCACTCCTCTCCACTCTTACACAAAACTTTGCCTATATGCTGTGTGCATATCCGTCTGTTTGCACATCTGTCATTACAGGCAAACGTTCTTGCTGCCCCTTCAGTGTCACCCTGCTGTCTCTGCCCACACACTGTAAATCCATGTATGCCTTTGTCCATGTGCCTACTATAGAAACTTGTGCCTTCACGGCAGTGATGTAATACCACGGCTTTGTGCTCTCCTTCCTTTTGGCTTGAGGTTGTCTTTAATAAATGGTTCCTTGGCAGGGGGCCAGCTGCTATCACAGGGGTCTATAATAAGTTCATTTATTTGTCAACACTGAGCCCACAAGATAAGAAAGACTGACTGTGCATGTTAAAAAGGCACTTCTTTGATTTAAAAAATAAAAAGAAGGAAGAAGGAAGAACATTCAATGCTGATTATGGCAATATGTTAATGTTCTGTTTCATTCTCTGCCTCACTGCCCACTCTGGGAGCTATAGGTGGCCCAAGAACAGAGGCATGCTTTTGGGGGGAACAGGAGGAAGGGGTCACTGTAGGGCGGCTCTTTTCTTTTCTGCAAATCCGTGCCGCGTCTGGACACAGACTCCAGAGTAATGTGCAGAGGGTTGACCACCCCCACCACCTTCCTCTTTTCTTTACAAATGTGCCCCCATGACCACAGGGTCCATCCCTCTTCCATCCCTGCTCCTTCATGGTCTCCCCTCAACCCACTGTCCCCCTTGTCCCGCCTGTCTGCCCTGTCCCCCAACAGACCACTTGCATTGTTCTCTGCAAACGCTCTGAATTGGTATGTACAGAGAAGGGGAATAGATGCTGTGTCAGTCAATTGGGTAAAATGAGGTGATGACTCTGAACAATAGAGTCACACTCACTGCCTGCCTTCTCACAAGGTCCACTACTCAATTAAAATGCTAAGAGATAAGAGCAAAGCCATTGCAAACCACTGCTTATTGTAGCAACAAAGCCTAAGGCATGTGTCCTATTCAGGAGTCCCATCTAAGAAGGCCATGTGTTGTCCAAAAAGAAAGGTAGAAGTTGAGCAAGATATAAAAAGAAAAAAGAGAAAGGAGTGTGACTCTCTGTCCGTCTGCTGCCTGTCTGCTGGCCTCTGTCTCTCTGTATGCCAGTTGCCTTTTCGAGATTCTGGCCCGTTCACAAGCTGTCTCATTTGCATTATGAATAACAGTGAGGGAAGCTAACAAGGTTATTGGTCTTTGAGACGCACGCCTGTGACCACACGTGGAAAAAGGACCTACAGCAGTGCGCATTGGCAGAGGCACTGAGCCTCTTTATTCTTGCCTTTCCAAGGGCTATGGGTTTTTTTCAGGGAGCACACGATTTACTCAGTGGAAGGAAGAAAGGGGGCCTGCTGGGGATAGGAGAGTGGGGTGGGCAGTGGGTTAGGGTAGTTGCTTTTCAGCTTCTTTACAAGTCGAGTGAACCCTCATTATCCAGGCCCCTGGTCATTAGTGACAGCAGTGTCCTGAGCCAGAACAGTGGAAGACATTTTTGGGATGACCATTGGCTTTATTCTTTGACTTTACTACATACTTTTGTTAACTGTAAAATATTTGCATTATTTGAAAAAAAAAAACAATTTATCTTTCAGATTTTTCATTCGCTATGTATCCTCCTTCAATGATTGCCACTGGGAGTGTGGGAGCAGCTATCTGTGGCTTACAACTCAACTCGAATACCCAGTCACAGTGGGGCGACAGTCTGACAGATCTACTTGCAAAAATCACAAACACAGAAGTGGTGAGTCTCCTGCACTTTCATAGTCGAGTTTTTATGTTGTTTTATTATCATTATTAGGTGGCAATCACCAGATCTGCCTGATTTTTGACAGCATGAAACTCTACAAACAAAAAGTCTGCTTGACTTGTTACAAATATTCCATTAATGTCTTGGACTCAGGAGACATTGACTATAGACTTACATTTAATCTGTCCTGCTGTAGTTCCCCAGATAACTGTAAGATTAAAGGCATGCTATGACGAATGATGAAATACTAATGATAAATAAATAATTGCAATCAATATTTGAAACAAACAAGCTACTTTTTGTGGTAAAAAAATCAGAGAAGTGGACAATGTCCATGCTTCCTGGTTCTATCAATGAAGGGACGGATAATTCTTATTTAATCCAAAGGTTTCACCTGCAGTCATTGAGTCATGATAGATTTGAGATTTGACGTATCATTATCTTTTTGGTTGTACTTGAATTACTGGGAGCGGAGAGGCCAGGAAACAGGAATCTAAAACAGGTATCTAAAACAACACTCACATCATCCATCCATCCATCCATCCATCCATTTTCTACCCTTTAATCCATTTCTGGGTCAGGGGGGTGGCAGTCAGAGATGCCACCCAAGTCTCATAGCACCAGCCCCTCACTGACCCTCTGCAGGTGGTGAGTCCACAGGAGGACGGCTGCTCTCTGAGTGTGAGCATAGCCTTGATCTTTCAGTGGGGGCTTTGGGCAAAGTGGGGTTAAGTGTCTTGCCTAAGGACACAACGACAGCAGTCATCAGTGGGAGTCGGTGGAGAAGGTGCAGAGGTGGGAATTGAACCCACAACCTTCTGGCCTTAAGGCCAATGCTCTACCAACTGAGCTACTGTCACCCACTCACATCAAACAAATAAAAACACCAACATTTCTTTCTGGGGGATGTAGTTTGTCACCATCACTGATCTCTGTTTACATTATCGTATCATCACCAATCACTTTCTCGTTCTCACAGAATACTTGCAATATATTTAAAGCTCAAAGACATTATTGGTTTTCCAGTAGACCCACATTGAAGTCATTAACGTGTTGCAAATAAAGCCCATGGGGCTTGGCTTAGACTGTGAACGGCCGCAGTGCAGTGCAGCGCTGCCGTGACTGTGGAAGAATGTCTTTTAAGGGGCGCAGGGAGAATACTTGTGGCAAAACACAAGCAGCTCCTTTACATGTCCTGCACTTTAGTTAATTTTCTCACAGGAATTGAGTTTTTTATGACTAGTCGAGCACATGTTAGTGGGTTACTGTGTGTGAGATGGCGCACACGCCCCTCTTTGTGGCTAACTTCTGGAGCGGATTAAGAGTAAGCCTTGCTTGGTTTTCATTGACATGAGAGCAATTTTTCAAAATGTGGTCCCAGGCCATCCAATTCTGTCCACATGAGACCAGTTCTGTCAACAAAAACATCGTTTGGAGCAGAGGCAGGTGCTTGAGAAGAAAGGACATCCCATTTCAAATTAAAGACATTCATTTATTTGACGATTGTAGAATAGGCATGTATATATCTGCAGAAACACTGTGACCTTACTTACCAGTGTTTGTGTTGACACTCTGCGTTGGGGTGTGTAGAGAGGTATTCTTGTTTGCTGAGACCAATGCTTGAACACTGCCAGAAAGAAACAAATGAAGATGTTAGAATAGGGTGGGTTAGCCAACCCAATTACAAACTGTGACCCTGTAGTGTTAATTCTACTTAACACAGCTTGTCGCCAATTATCAAGTCAATTCAGCTTGTTACATTTGTTTGACAAATTCATTATTACTTTGAGGAGCTTCAATACCAACATGTTTGCCAGGCGTTACTCAATTTTACATTCGAGTCCAATTGTTGTGCTCTGACCCCATCGGAGAGCAACAGCAGTGAGCGACTGCTAACAGCCTATTGAGTGGTTGTCTCCTCCTTCCCTTCTGTCTTACTTGCTTGCCTGCCCTCTCTGCTCTGTCAACCCTTCGTCCTGGAGGATATGGGGCTGCTGAGAGGCTTCTGTCCCAGGTGAGTTCTCAAATTGCAGCGGTGGCCTTTGATGGTGAAAGGCGAAAGAGATCTCAGAAGTTCCCCCAAAGGCAGACAGGCACACACACACACACACACACACACACACACACTGGCCCTCGTTAAGAAAGCACCAAGTCTGCGTTCCCACAGGAGGTGGATGTAATTAACATAGCTTTAGTACTACCTGTGTTTTCAGCCTCTGTTGTCAAGGCTACTTGTGTTTAGGGTTTGTGTCTTTTAGAATGGTGGAGATGGGATATAGTAGGTGCTGGGATAAGATAGGAATGCATGCCCAGTAGTGCTTCAAGGGGTGTTGGGTGTTCTACCTTGGTGGCCTGATGTAATGCTGAAGTCCTTTCCTGTGTCTGTGTTAAACCAATGGTCATATAAACCCCACAGGCAAGGCTCAAGACCTGGTCCTGCAGCTGGCTCAAACAATTAACTGTTTATTACTAATTATCCTTTTGTCAATGTTGTTTTCTTACTTTACAGGAAACATATTTTGCAAAATCAACTTTTTTTTAACCATCTCACATTATTGTTCTGTCTAAAAGCTCCTGTCTCTGTTCTGTAATAGTTTAATGTGATTGTTCCACTAAATAATTGTCTATTTTTCATGTGAAATTACCTTCTTTTCCGTCTCAGCCAGTCATTCAAAGATGCTTTTTCATATTCTAAAACATGAGAATTTAAATAGCCTTATTATCCTTTTTCACTGGTGAAAACAAACACGTTTGATGATGAGTTATCCCTTGTGTGTCTTATAGGATGTTCTCAAAGCCTGCCAAGAACATATCGAGCGTGTTTTGGTGAGCAGTCTCCGTGAAGGCCGTCAGCAGCAGCAGCAGCAGCAGCAGCAAACACAGAGAGGCTCCAGTAACAAAGGCCTAGAGGAGCTGGACCAGTCTTCCACACCCACAGATGTCCGAGATGTCAACTTATGAATGAACCACCAGAGTCGTCATTGCACAGGATTTACAGAAAATATCATGGAATTAACTCAATTTCTTAAAAGCTGAAAAAAAGCTGAAAAAAAACATAAAACATGCAAAAACATGCTTTTTAAGAAAGAGGACTATGCTTGATAGTAGTTTTATTTTAGTAGATTTTGGCCCTTGAAATAGATGTTGACATTCTAATTCAGAAGAAAACTGTTTTTATTCAAAATGAAGCTCTTCTGGTGCCTTGGATTTACAAAAGGGAAGTCGATAATTTGCATTCTACCTATGATTGTATCGATGACATCAATAAGATGGTGTGGTCATGTGCTGTGGAGACCATTCTGAATTGAATGACTATTCTCATACTTTTTGTACCAGATAGTCAGCATCAAATATGTGCCTGTTCACATATGCTCCTCGTGTTTTAGAAGGTCAATACATGCCGTTTGGCTGAGATACACAAAAACTATATGAGTTATGTCCCCAATTTTAGGGGATTTTAATTGTCATGGTTAATATATAATAATAATTAATATTATTATTATTATTTGTCATATTTGAACTTGTAGATGAGTAAGCTCCTTTTGTACAAGTGAGTGAGCGAGAGTGAGAGAGATGATCATGTGTGACACTGCGTTTTCAGCAGTTGTATTCCAAGGCGTTTGGACAACATTCAAGTCATCGATTTATGTTAATATCACAGAGAAAGCCAAGAATACACATTATGTGTCCAAATATATGGAGGGCATCAATGTTGTATCACTGCATTACAATAATCAAAACATATATGGGCTTTATGAGACAGCCTGTGTTTTAATGTGATTGTAAAATACTAGACAGAGAAGAGAGAAAGTCAAGAGGACTTCAGTCGTGTCTGCATCAGCAGAGGACAGAATCAGTCAGGCTTGGTATGTTACAGGAGTGACTGTGGAGTTAAGGACCCCAGTGTGGGGCTGGTGGATTGGACAGAGAATGTCTAAAGAGCAGGTACATGCTGCTGTAAAGACAATGCACAGCCTGGAGCTGGAAATGATGAATAAAAGCTGCCAGAAAGCCTCACAAATATCTCTAATGCCTGAAAAGGTATCGTTCCTTTATGGAAAGATGAACAATACTGTCCAAACAAATGGATATTAAATGAGGAACTAAAGCTGCATACTGATTGTGTAAAAATCATCTTAGTAAAGAACATGATGAGAAAATACTTTCACCGTATCAGGATTCCCTCTGGGCTTTGTTCAGCCCCCTAATATGATTTCAATGGTAAAGCACTTTGAGAACACGCTCCTTAGGAGATAAGTCAATTGAAATACATTTGGTAATTGGAGATGAATGGACATTTCCTTTTGTTGTTGCTAACATTGTCTTTGGTTTACTTTGTAGGGCTGGTTTCCCAATCATCACACAATCTTTTCTCAAACATCAAATTTAGTTTAATATTTCCAACAAAAACATTCCTGATAAAAGTCCAACTGAAAACAACTCTTTTATATTGATATTAATTAGAGGCTAAACCGTACCACCAGCTCTAGTTTGTGATAAAGAAATTGTTATACTTGAATTTTCTTATTCTTATTTATCTGCATAATCAGTCACACAGCTACAACAGAGGAGGTCTTACATCATATGTTTGCACAATGAGGTCTGCTTTTTAAAGTCATGTGTTGGAGTTGGTGGTCAGTTGACAGTGCTTACTTAATTAGTTTATATATTTTTTTAACTTTATGTTTGTCACTGCATCTTCTTCATGAGCTTTGCTGCTACGTATCAGTTGTAATGTGGATTCAGCCGATACAGCACAAGGATATACTCATGGGAACACTGCGCTGCCACTCTTTGGTTTCAGGACTGTTATGCTCACTTACTTCGAGTGTAATTTCCAAAAGACTATGGATTTAGTTCATGGTTTTTATTTACCAATCAAATAAGATAGAATGTTGAGCCCTCATTTTCCTCAGATCTATGTAAGCTCTCCCTGAATTTTTTTGTTTATTTGTTATCTATTGACATGATGTACCACATATTATTGGGGTAACCAGACCCACATATGGGTTTTCTACTATTAAGAGATACTGTATTCCAAAGTGAAGCGAGAATAGAGAAGGAGGAGTAAAGACATCAAGAAAAAGTGTCAATTGAATTGAGGTTTGTTGTTTTGCGCTGCTAAAAGCTATTGATTTGTTTCATTTATACAAAAAAGACATTGCCTAGTTGTGATGTGTCACATGTGTGTGCTGCTATTTTATAAACATTTGTATTATAATATAATTATTTTACTGCTTAAGAAATACATTCAGAAACCGAAGTAGATTGTTATAGAAGAACATGATATGAGTATTTGACTGGACATTGTTTTGTACAGTTTGACAGTTTAGATAGCATGTCTTCTTTTCCATTTGTTAATCTACTTTGTTTGTATTGTCACATTCTGCATCAGTGGTATTCCATATACCTCAGGATTACTGGAGAAACTTCAACAATTATCACCTCTGCAGTCTGGAAACCTGAACAGGCGCACGTTCCTGTTCAGCAAAGCCTAAATGAACCGCCAGTGTACACTGTATCCCCATGGACCTTTGGAGCACAAGTCATCATTGACGGACTTGTGTCAGTGGAGACAGCTCAAACATGTTCACTGTCGTTAGTCCGGTGCTATGTTTGATTGTTACGTGCAGGGGTCGAGCGTTCCTACAGCAGTGGCCTTTTCTACATAGTACATTTGGGCACAACATAGGTGCTTTTATACAATTGTGCATAGACTACAGAATTGCATTATGCACAATGTTGTAAACCTGCCATAATCAAATGCCTACATTTCATCTGTACTGATGTAAAGTTCCCTCTACATTGTAACTTATGTTATGTACCTCAAATGTCTCTTGCACAACCTCTGTTCAATAAATTTCTGCTTTAAAGGGTGTGACACCACATCAGTTCACTGACTATGTCTATTGTTTGTTTGTTTATGCTCTGCACAGCATGTTGATGCATGCAGTTATTGTATTAGCAGATAATTAGTTTACTGTTTGCCTATTGGCCTACCTACGTTTAACAAAGCAGTAACTAGTTACTTGTTTAATTTACTAGTGATATATTCCTTTTGTGTTAAGTGTTCAGTAATTGTAAAAGTGAAACATTGCATTATATTACCAGTTACAATCATTTTAGAAACCGTTGCATTGCAATACAAATATATAGATATTATTCCTCCCAGAAGCTCGTAACTTACCCAACACTGTAGATAATGTCAGTACAACCCTATAGTTCACAAAGACACGTGGAAAAACATATTTTCATAATGTTGAGCAGAGCGCAGTCTCCCCCTGCCCTCTCACTCACAGACACGCTTGTTGATACGCAGTCTCCGTTGCTCTGTCAGAGGCCACAGCTGCCCCGCGGCTGCGGCTCCTGTCGTCACTCTGGCTTTGTGCAAGAAAGCCGGGATCCGAATAACGAGGACAATGGCTACTCTCATTTGTGGATTTACGTTTATTCGACAGTAAGTTTCTATTCTTTGTTAGTGACACCTTATACAGGGGTGACACTGACACCATCTTTAAATGGCACGTTTCTAACATTAGCTCAGACGAGATTGAGAGCGCTTACATTCATTGTCCACGAGGTGGCAGCATTACTCTTGACAGAGATAAGGGCCCCCGTTGTGAGGAAGGAAGAACAGTCAGAGAAGGAAGAACAGTCAAAGGAAGGGGAAGAACAACTCCAAATATTCAATATTAAACCTGCCACCTCATTATCAAGGTCAACTTTACAGTAGACTTTTTAGATATATATGGAGAAGTGTTGTAACAAGGAGACGCTATCTTTATGTAGGATGGTTAATATGACATGATATGTTAGTGGAGCTAAAGACCTTTTATGAAATTAATTATTATACATTTTATTTATTTTGTATTTTTTTTCTATTTTATTTTTTAATACAATAATTTTTGAATTTTAGCAAAATGTAACTGGTAAATGTTACTACTAATAGTGGACCAGCAGCACACACAACCCTATTGCGGTGGATGTGGTTTCCGAAAGGCACTGGTTTAGGGCAGTGCCTCACGGACAGACTGCATCGATATATATTGTAGGAACCAGAATGTTAATATGGTAAGGAAACAACCCGTTTGTGTGAATGAGTGTGAATGGGGGTGAGGGTGGGAGGGTTTTGAGTTGGAGCACTAATTGTAAGTGTATCTTGTGTTTTTATGTTGATTTAATAATTAAAAAATAAATATAAATATAAAAAAAAGACCTTTTATGTCATTTTTATGGTAAGATCTAAAATACAATAATTGCATTTATCCATTTTAATTCATTGCAAGGACACCAGTTTTCTTTTCACAGATATCACTTGTCAGTGCTGGGTGGTGGTGCTTTGTTCATCCAAGAAATGTCAATAATTAACAAGTAGGATATATCACAACATTTATCAACAAATCATCATTTATTATCATTCATTATGTTGATACATTCACATCCTGATTGTTCTTGTGACTGATGCTGATGTTGCTTGTTTATTTGATTTGTGTGTTTTGAATAAGAGTTGGCTGAATTTTTTTCCCCATAATGGCTCATTCTGATGATACCAGAGGGTAGTAGAGTAGAAAAGTAAATAAAGGCAGAATCAATGCTTGAGACCTTTTCATGACATAATGTGACATTTTAGAGTACAGAATTTCCTTTATTCCTTTGCAGTGGAGAAACCAACTACAATAGAAAAGGTATTTTACAAGGTAAGATTAGTGTCTGTGAATGATGTCTTAAATGACAGTCCTCTAGAAATAGTAATATTATCTGTGTATAGGTCAAGCGATAGACTCACCACTGTCTGATACTGGAGGGAAACAGGCAGACGCTGCAGGACTGTACCTGAAGGACGTTAAGTTCAACCATGTTTATGTCAGCGACATGTTACGAGCTCGACAGGTGTATTGGTCATTTTACACTTCATTGACAATAAACCTACATGTACAATAACCACTCTCTATTTCACTTTCAGACTGCAGACTGCATATGGAAACAAAACTGCAGCTGCTCAGCTTTGCAAATGAATTGTGACTCCTTGCTCAAAGAAAGGGTTTGGGATATGTTCTATATTCTATGAAATGCCTGTGATCTATATCCTATTCATACATTTTCCCCATGCAATGTAGAGTTTTGGAATAGCAGAGGGACAACAAATGAAAGACGTGAAAGAACTGGCCGCAGCAGCTGGTCAGTCATTTCCAGACTTCACTCCTGCAGGAGGAGAAACTCGAGAGCAGGTCATTTTCTTTCCTCTTGATTTTAGTATCATAACCATTATCATTATAATAATCATGATAATGTATTTGTAATTCCCTTTTCAAAAGGGGCCACTCATTGTATTATCCAACTATTGGAATCAGAAGCTTGTTCAGTCCACGGTCACTGTGCGAGTCATGGTTTAAAGAGTCACCAGTCTGGTTTTGGTGGGCGTCACAAGATTCTGTTCTATTTAAAGTCAATGGCACATTTGTCTTTGTGACAATCATCTTCTAAAGTCTTTTAGCTTTTCCCCCAATGATTGGGGGAAAAGCTAAGCTTGACTTATGCACAATGCACAAGATCATCTTAAGTGTTCTCCATCAGTAAAGTTTTATCTTATCTTGTCTTATCTTAAGCCTCTCCAAACCTTTTACATATTGACTATATATGTCTCATTATTATTTCCATCCATCCATTCTCTTCCCCTGAATCCATTTCTGGGCCGGGGGTGGCAGTCAGAGCTGCACCCAGTACACAGAGTACCAGCCTCACTGATCCTCCTGGAGGTGGTGGGTCCACAGGGGCTTCAGGCAAAGTGGGTTAAGTGTATTGCCCAAGGACACAACGACAGCAGTCATCAGTGGGAGTCGTGAAGTAGGTCTTACGGTGGTCTCGAACCCACGACCTTCAGGCTCAAAGGCCAATGCTCTACCAACGGAGCCACTGTCACCCCTATTATTATTTTATTTCTTTTATTTCATCATTTGAATTTAAATTTTTTTAAATAAAATTTTTATTTTCATATTTGAATTTGAATGCAATTCAAAACGACTGAGGGCAACAATAGCTGATTTGCTGTTGTTGTGTCCTTGGGCAAGACACTTAAAATGTAAATATGTTTTGTAAGTAGTAGTAGACTTGTACACAAGAGGCCTGAAGCCCTCCTGTGGACTCACCACCTGCAGGAGGATCAGTGAGGGGCTGGTGCCATGTGTACTGCAGCTCTGACTGCCACCCCTCGATCCAGAAATGGATGAAGGGGAAGGAGATGGATGGATGTAAATTTTTATTAAAATGTCTTTCTATTTTTTTATTTTAATTTTAAATTTTAAAGTTATAGAAGTTGGAACTGGGAATGCGTTTTAAAATGTAAATATGTTTTGTAAGTAGTAGTAGACTTGTACGCAAGTGGACCAAGTTATAAGTAAAAACTCTTTATAAAATGTCTTAGAATTCTACATTAAGTACATACAACTGACGGGAAGCTATTTGGACTGTAGTGTGATTATGTATTATTTTAATGTTTCTTTTGTTTTGTTCAGCACTTTGAACAACTTGTGCTAAACAAACAAACTTGCCCTGCCATGTGCATTTATATATTTCTCCCCAATGCAATAATGGAAAACATGTTTTATCTTTACCCAGGTCAAGGAACGTTTCAAACTATTTTGGGAGAAAAGTATCCAGGAAATTGGGAGCGAGCACTGGGATACAAAGGCAAAGCAGGGCTCTCCATCAGCGCTGCCCCCGGCCCCTGCAGAGGGGAAGCCTGACGACGGGCTGCAGCATGTGCCTGTGCATGTGCTTGTGGTCACTCACGGAGCGTATATGCGAGAGGTTGCTATATATTTGACGGATGAGTTAAATTGTTCCATTCCAAAAGGTTTGGACAAATCACACATGCTCTCTTTGAGTCCTAACACCGGCTTGTGTCGCTTTTTAGTTTCTCTGGAGAAGGAGAACGAGTGTTTCAGGCAAACACAGACACATTGTGTTTTCATGCACAGAATAGATCATCTTAAACTCTTGAAGGACTAAAACACATTCAGTTAATATGTCTCATAGTGACACAAACCTTTTTTCATTTTAGACTAGATATAAAGTAAGGTAAGTAAAGTGAAGTTAAGGACGTTAAGGTTATAGCCACTCTTTAGAATGTGGTTGTTCATTCACATAATGAGCTTCTCAGTTTTTATATTTATGCTTTGAGTGTTTGTATGTGTGTAGGCGTACAGGCTAAAATAGTTTCTGTGTTGTGACTTTTGGAAATAAGTTACATTGTCAATGTTGTGAATTAACACTTGTGTAAACATTGAAAACGAAATGACGTCATAGCATCACACCAATAGTGATGAATATGACAAAGCAATATTCTGCACAAGTTGGTTTCTTCCAAACTTTAAAACCAGAAAATCTAAAAATGCTTCAACATCCAATGAGGGCTCCTCAAACCAGCGCTCTGCAAGTCCACTGTAGTCTGAAACATATTACGCATATCGTAATGAAATAAGAGTTACAAATGTATGTTGTTAAAATAAAACTATGTACTCCTTTGTAGAGTGTGTCTAACTTTCTACGTCCCGAGTTCTCAAAGCATAATGCACATCAGTCAGTCTTGTGTAGAGTTAGACAAGTGATTGGCAAACTGTCTTGGATTTCCATTTTATTTGTTAAAAATAAAAATATATAAATAGAAATTGAGCACAACAATAAATAAATATGTTTTCACTACTGGGCCTGTTGGTGTCCAGCACCTTACATCTTACATCTCTGGATCATGAATGATAAATATATTAATTTACAATGCACAGTGCCATTTTATAATTATTCTACCAAATATTCTTACAAGTGACAGATCTTTGTATACATGTTGAAAAGTGAAAGTTGAGAGTAGTATTTGCACTAAATGTGCATGATTATAAGTGTGTGAATGTAGAAGCCAAATGGTAGCCACATCTTAGGTCTCCTGTCCGGGAAACACTGTTGGGCGTGACTGAATATTCATTGTGTTCGAAAAGCTTCTCAAGCTCACATAGCACAATCTGGATCTTACATGGTTGCATGTACAGTACTAAATGTAACTGGCTTTATCTGACAAATGGGTAAAAGGACAGAAGTTCCTGGGCTATACCGGACATCACTGCAAGTCCAGTTGGATGTTGTTGTAGGTTATCGGCTGTTTAAACAACAAGGTAACGTGATGTAACATTTGGGCAAAACAAAGATCTTTAAATAATGAGGATTGGGACATTGCCGCCAGTGCCCCTTCCCCAGTGCTCTGATTAAAAGTCTTGGCACATACTGCCCACAACTCACTGACTAACTAATGTTGCCCCTTCTGCCTGATTTCCAATATTGTTTTTCACAGGGCTCCCAGATCCATTGCTTTGTAGGACTTTGAGAGGGTCGTCACATGAGGTGATGGTTTCTTTGGACACTGCACCTGTCTGATCTCTGTTTGAGTGATCTGTTTCCTTTGGATTGGTGGCAGAGTGCGTTTCTGATCGTAATGGATCAGAAGGATTAACCTCCTGACTCCTTTTTGGTCTTTTTAAGCGCTCGAGGAACCTTCTTCGTATGTCTTCCCTTTCAGAAGACTGTAATTCCACGTTCAATTGCAGCCCTTGTATCTTCAAGAGCCGGGCTGCTCGTGTGGAGTAAAAGACATCATGTCTCAAGGGCCATTGCAGCCACAGCCGCTGGAAGAGACAGTCTTGTGTTTCACTATGTTTCTGCAAAGAACAGCCCAAGTACAGACAGTTAGAGAATGAAAGCAAACATACAGCTTCTATCTGTACAGGTAGACACAATACTCACAGAGCTAAACATCTCTCCCTTTTGGTCCATGCACAGAAAGTCTTTATGTTTCAAATCAAATATTGACACAAAAATGCTGCTTTGTGTTTTTACTGGAAGAATAACTGCAAAGTAAAGCAAATCAAAGTTGATATAAAATGTTCATTGTTATTTCATAATAGTTAATATTGTGAAAAGGTGGAGACTTACCTAAAAAGTTTGGCCACTCACTACTTCTCAAAGAACGCGTCTGCCCTTTAGGTCTTGGATCAACGATGGTCTGTAGGTCCAGAGGTTTACTTTCCACCATTACAGACACATGTACAGCGATCAGGACGAAGGAGACAGAAGCCAGGAGCATGATCAGCGGGACACTGTGCTCTCAGTTCACAGCACTCTACTCTGAGCGGCGTGTAGCTTTCCACTGGAGGAGGAGAAAGTCCAACCACTCTATTTAAATAGAGGGTCAATAAACTAGCTCACTCATTTACCAAATTGTGGTTAAGGATTCCTGTAGGCTAAAGAATCTTTCAGTGACAAACTGTTTCAAACATTTCAGTGGTAGTGATTCAACTTCTGAAGTCAAGATGTGTATGTTGTGTATGAAGCTTTGTCTGAGGTGTTTAGCTTTTAGGATGTGTTTATCAAGGCCTTTCCACAGAAATACAACACACACAGTGCTTCTCGCTTTTTTGGCCACAGGCCTCCTTCCTCTCAGGGATAAATAAAGTGCTTAAGATACACAATAGCAAGTTACTGAAAATAGATTCCAACAACACTTCCAAACATATATTCTCTGACAGTCTAGAAAAGGTATGTTTCTGCTTGTCCATTTCAATGGGAAATCATGTTGCTTGAGTCACTCAATACTTTAAACAGCATGGACCAGGAACAGTGAAGAGGGGGTGCCAAAAGAACCACAGAATGACATGCCAAACCAAACAAAGGAATAGGCTACTAAGCTGCTCTAAGCTGGTTACTCATGGAACGTTATTTGTTGACAAGTTGAATAGATTTGTTGTTTTTGCGGGACACAGTTTGCTTTGGCTGAGGGGTGACAAGTAGCTTCCCAAAAGATTTCAAAATTACAATCTGCAGAAAATTTTAAATGTTTTGAATCATGCAGTATATGCAATATGGTAGTTCATTTGTGTGAAGTTAAATGTCTGATTAATTGTACCTAACTAATGCTAGCTCACTATCATCTTACTTTCCTTCAACTGCAAAAGGAATCCCTTGTGTCCAAAAGAAGAAGCTCACTCAGACAAATAAATTGGAGACTCTGTTTTAGTGGTTCTGCCGTGGACCTGGTATTACATCGGTCTGATACCAAGTATTAACCAGCTCCTGACTGTGTGTCCTCATCTGTACAATTACAATAAAGTTAGTACAGCAACAATTCAAAGGGGGAATAGTTCACTTTTCACTTCTGTAACAGTTTTATATCCTGGCACAAGAGGGCGACAAAAGCTTAGATCAAAATCTAGTGAGAATTAGTTGTTACGACGATTGAAAGTATTGACTGAACACATAAGAGAATAACACACTTTTTTCCTTTCTCTTTCCTTTGTTTTTTTATTTATTTCATTTTACAAAAAGGCTTTTATTGTCTTTTCAGTAATACACTTGACTGCTGTGCACAGCACATAGTACAAAAATAAAAGGAAAACCATTTGTAATATATTATTTTACTCACTCATTTTTCAGAAATAAATGATTGGAGAAATATGCTGTTTTAAAGTCATTTACAATCATTTCAATAATCGGAACTAAGGCAGAAGGTGAGGTATATGTTAAAAAAGAGGAAAGACTCTCCCCTCAGTGCAGGAATAGAAAACTGAAGAACAAAAAGGTTGATACAAACACAGTTACCACAAATGACTATTTGCTGCTGACCAACACTTTTAAGCCAGCAAGTGTGAGAATCACATACTTTGAAAAGAGTAGACTGAGGAGGAAACCCATGGTACTATAAACACTTTGAACGCACTCCACATTTAGTGAGGCCAATTCTCGGTCATCGTAGATGAAACTGCATGTTGATACTGCAGTATTAAGTAGTAGTAGTAAGTACAGTTACTCACTCATGTTGGTATTCAAAGTACAATGATACATGGTGCAAGGAATAGATGGCGGAGGCCATCACACAAATCTGGCTCCAAACTGAACAGAATTGGTGTGAAAATAGAAATACATAACTCTCATGGTGCAAAATGTGCAGAATTACCCTCTAAAAGTTATTATCAAACAAACTTAAACTTGTGTTAACCCTTTTGTCAACTCCTGCATCTAGGATACTTTTTATACAGCGACCTGGCTCCCCACAAACATTTCCACATGTTTTTCTGGCATATTTTTCTATATTTTGTTTGTTGTTGTGATTGTTTTGTGATATAGGGATTTTAGTAGTGCTCTCTGTCTCTTGTAAAGTTTTGTCTGTTCCACATAACATTTCTAAAACGCTTAACTGGCGCCTAAAGGGTTAATTCTCTGACATTTTCACACCTATATTTGAACCAAATTAAAAATGTTCAGAATATGATACAACATACATTTTAATGTAGGTATTTAGTTATCTATATATAGGAAAAAAAACACTATTCAGTTTTTCTGCCCAAAAAAACTTTACATAATACTTCCTTTTATCCCACATCAGAATGTGCACAAAGTACTAATATAAAGTGTGACCATTCTCTGACTAGTGGTATTGCTAAAAATACAGACTCAAAAAATACATATTCAGAATAGTGAAATTGAACATGCCATTATTAGAATAGTATCTTTCACATAGTTCACAGTATTAAGTCTACCGGCCCACTTTATTTGGAAGAATTTGGTGACTCTAACTTGCTACATCTTCAGCTGCAGTCTTTCACAGCCTGCTGAAGACCAATGATATACTACAACAGTTGCACAGGCAGAGAGAGCACCGATCCTTGGGCTCAACATGACAAGACAGAAACAAAGTAGCACATCTCAACTTATATAGGGAATAACTGCCCAAACATCTTCATGTGCACACGCGACAAACGCAAAAAACTACCTCTTAATTGATTTTTTTTTTTTAACAGTGAATTCCTAAAAGGGATATTGGTGGTTTGAATATACTAAAGAAAACGATGGACCATGATATGTGCCAAAATCGCCAAAATAAAATGATGCGATACTCTTTACTTTCCATCCAAGCTCATCGTGTATTGCCGTCATTACCGCAACCCTGCTTTGCTTTTGCTGCCTGAAAGTATTCAAGCCTATCTCGATCTTGGATACACGTACCCAACCAAACACAACATGACTGACTCACTATTCTTCTCAAAAATACATTTGCCACCAGCTTTCCATATTCAAGCAACATTGGTGAAATTGAAACCTAAGATTGTCAAAGCTCCCTTGCAAAAATTGGGAGGAAATTGAATAATTGAACAAAGATTTCCATTTCAGTAAGAGGCTCCACTCGGCTCAGTGCTACATATAGAGATTCGATTACTTATCTATGGAAGGAAGACAACTAAACCTTTGTTGTGACTCCCCAAGCTGAAGTCTCATTGGTGTCAATGGGAGTGATGTTCTTCGTTCCTATTTCTGACTTGAGCACCACATTTCTCACATGCAAGGGTACATGGGGCCACATATAGGAATTCAAGGCACCTCTACCTCACCAAAGCAAGAAAAACAGCCCTGTGCTCATTTTGCTTGCCCTGATGGTAACAAAAACACATAATAAATAACAATAATCGCAGTAACAGGCATTCTTTTACGAAACGTCATGCACACAGTTTTCTAGTATTGTCCTCAAAATGTTTCTACAGTGCTTTGAGGTAATATAAAAGATCCATACCATTTTCCATCAGTGCATTTCACTGACAGGGAAAACCAAGATTCGCCCATTTAAATTGTTTACTCAAGCATTCTCATTGCCCTGTCTTACAAAAAATAGGTTTAAATAACAAGCAGCACCAAATGATATGTCTACATCCTCCAACAAGTAAGTTTCCGAAATATACAAATAAATTATTAAATACTTTAAGATATATTGATACTTCTTTCTATAAGAGTCCATATGGAGTTTTATGTAGGGCTATTACCTGGTATATAATCCACATGTGCAAATAAGGTTGTTATTGCCAAGTTTTGCTTGTCATATTCGCGGTAGGAAGTGCGTTACAGTCATGGCGGTGGTGGCCCTGTTGCCCTTCTTGACCCGGCCATGCTTGGTGAGAGCTATGTAGAAGCCTCTGTAAACTTGAGACTCGTAGGCATTGTAGTTGTTTGGGAGTAAGCTCTCCTTAAACTTGCATTCATCATGGAAGGCTGTCTGAAAGAGACCGGTGAAGAAACAAACAAAAATCAGACACACGCTAAACGTTTTTCTTATCACTTTTCTGAGTTAAGAGGGTTATCTAAAGTAAAGTCCAATTAATTTATCCATATTAAAGAAACACATTGGCCAAATCTTTTTTGAGGTGTTGCCTTAATAAAAAATATAGTATTTGGAACAAAGCCCTGCTGAAAGACAATGCTATAGACAGTGTAAGACAATAGCCAGTAAAAGGAAAAACTTTTTTCCTGGAAACACAGGAGTTCCAGCAGCAAGTTGCCACACATGAGTCAGGTTTGTAGAGATGCATAATGCTCACTAAAGATGCATGTTTTTATACTATTTCAGTGCCATGTAGTAGATTTGAGTGAGACAATTAAGTACATCTCATTTCTCATTTTTTAAGAAATATTCTATCTGGTAAATCAGAATCTATTTAAACCAACATCTAGTCAAACGAATGTCTGATCAGACAACAAATTACTAGAAGCGGTTAGGAAGTAAAACAACGTAGGCCTATTACAGTGTAAGCTATAACACTTTTGCATTTTTCAAAGAATATCACACTCAAAGGCACTATAGGTCACTCTTGAAAGTAGCCGACCAGCTGGTCCCAGGCATGAGTCCCGTCCTAAAATATGACAGTCAAAATGAAAAGGGGATCATGCTGCAAGTGCGCCCTACTTTTAGAACCCCATCAACGTAGCGCGTCAATAAATGAAATTCTGTTCATACCTACCGTTCCGTACAACCTCCCGCGGCGGTTCATTGCGACAAACAGCCCGCTCTTCACCCCGTAGAGGCTCACCACCCCTCTCTCCACCGCAGAGATTTCTATTAAACCTGGCATGGAACAAAGAAAGAGCATAGATTGTGACAGTTTCCCGAGCGCCTGTGCTCTGCGTGTAGGGGTGGAACCGTGCAGTGCTGCGCAGCATTCTCAGGCTTTGTTCTGCATCTTATTACACTATCGCACATTTGCATCAAATACAGGTGCGTAATTACACTTATGGAGGTAAATGCATCATTTCAACTGTGAACAGGTCACCATATCGCAACCATGCGTAAAGGCGTCCATGAAATAATGACTGAACTACAGGATGAATGTAAGGTGAATATTGGTTTTAAAAGATATGTCTTTACCGTGGGAGAAATCCAATGTCCCCCAGAGTCAGATGACAGGAGCATGCAAATTAATAGAGGGCGAGACAGGCTGCTCATTCCAGACCCATGCGTATCACTGCCTCTCCTTTATGTCTATTTGCTTTAGATTGGCGGAGGAAGTAGAACTCACTGTACTGGTTTTCATTATGTACACCGTTTATCCTGCCGTCAGGGAGGATCTGAAGGTGAAACCCGATGCCCACGTTGCAATAGAGCCTCCGCACTCGTTTGATGCCCAGCAAATAGTCACTCTCCCAGTTCAAGTCCGACTTCTCTCCGGAGATCCCCAACATAGAGCGGGAGAACAGGCTCTCCCATCGTTTCTCCAGTAAAGTTGCATTTGTTCTGCTGCTCGGTAAAGGGTACGCTGACACGATCCCCAGCAGTAAGCCCAGGAGAAGCACCGCGGTCAGCGTCCACTGCGGTGTGCCGGCCTCGCAGGACATACTGACGAGGAGCCTTTGCGCAACGGCCATCCGGTTTACCTTGCGGCCACGTGGTCCAAATTAATGACCCTAAAAATACCAGTCTTCTTGTTTTGCTTCCTTCGGCATGTTGGCTGGGGGGTATTTTTGGAGCTCGGAGCAGGGATTTGGGTATGACTCGCACTCTCCGGTGCAGTGGAGGAGAGGCAGAGCAGGGGGTGATGGTGGTGATGATGGAGATGTTGGTAGTGGCGATTACCATGTTTTGCTGCTCCTCTGAGTGCGCCTCTCTCTCTCGCTCCAACTCTGTCCCCTCTCCTCCCTCTCCTAGATAGCGCCGCACACCAAAAGCCCCTTCACCCACTGACAGAGGCACCTGGCGTCATGGTGTTCCCATTGGCGTGTGGGCGCACAGCGCACGCCACAAGTTTAGGACTCGGCCTCTGATTGAGAATGGGGAGAATATTGTCTATTGGCTGTTGGTAGTGTAGCCTGCACGAGGCATGGGGCATGATGTGGTATTAAGGCTGCTCCTAAATTGGGTAGGTGGTCATATGTCTGTCAGGCAGTTTCCTTATTTAGAAAGAAGGTGTAAAAACAGACCCACTTGTCACCGGAGAGCAACGACAGAACCCTTGTGGTCCCACTTCTCTTCCTCTGAAGTGAGGCTTGAGAACATTTGCCGGTACCCTAAATATTTTGGGGAGCAATTTTACGAGACTGTTCAGAGGCACGATTGGGACGAAGCTTGTCTGTGCCTGAGTGACACCAACTTCAGTATCGAGTTCTCACAGGCTCCGCATTTTGCAACATTTGGGACTGACGCGGGGCAGAGAGACAGGTCATGAAATGGCACGCATAACTGGGATGCCATTCCTGGACATGAAAGCCCATCGTCTTTTCCATGTAATAGATAATGTCATAAGCAGTGCGCCCTTGCGTCAGGACCAAAGAGCGTCTTTAAACAGAAAATCTACTTTTCCATGAGATGGCGCCATTTCCATGTTTTTTGAAAAGCTAATCTGAGATGAACAAATGCGCATCAAACGCACTTTTAAAAAAAGGCTTTTATTTAAAAAACAAAAACAAAAAAATCCAAATAACAACAACGGACTGCTGTTGAGAAATCAAGCAGAGCATCAAACATAACAGACTGGCCTTGAACGGGACCGTTGGCACAAGTGGTTTCATTTGAATATTTGGTCACAAGGATTGTCATAAAAGCTAAATAGAACTGATCTAGTGGATAGAAAAAACAGCCAGATAAAACGAGCACCATTTTAGAAGCATTTGCAGCATTAGTTGTATCAACATCTGAAACTACATGTAGACCACAGCCCTTGTTAACTTCTCAAAATTAGCAAAAATAAATTAGCAATTTAGAATGCTCTCACCTATACAAATAAGTTAAACAATAAATAAGCCATGTCACATGAGAGAGAACGTCAATAACAGTCTGTATTTTGGAATAAAAGCTCGGGCTAATAAATAATTAGATACATTGTATTTACAAACAGTTTTGGAAAAGGCACTTGAAACATTTTAGTGTAACCCTGGCTACCCACCTAGAAAACAAATATTAACTCTTCTGTGCAGATAAATGCTACCCACACCGTACAAGCCTCTTGAGCGCTTATGTTTAAGAGTATATTTGCACACAAATTAAACTGACGATAATGGGCTTAAGGAAAGGCAATAGTGAAATCTGCATTAACATAAGAGAATGATACTAGTATATAGTAATAGTTATTGCTAAATTAAACAATTAGGTTGCATTTTCTCACATACTGTGCTTCAACAAGAGAATACTACCAAAACATTAAATATTTAGACATAACAAGCTTAATGCAGTAGAATAATAGAGGAAATGCAATTGTAAAAAATATCCCAGTGAGTTACCACTTCATTATTTGCAATCTAAATTAAAACACATCTCCACATTGTAACAAAAAGGTATTGAATTGATATCCACAGAGTAAATCTGTATGGTTATTCCTGAGAAAGAGGTTAATGAAGACATTTCACACATTCTACTAGCTTACACCTCCCCACCCTCCACCCTAGTTTCCGTAATTTAGTTAAACCTTCTGGAAAAGATCATGTAAATCCAAAAACAAACCGTTTTTTTTAGAAACAATCTTGTCTACAACATATTGTAGCTGCTCAGGTCCTTTTGATCATAAACAATTCGACCACTGAAATAAATTGCTACAGTACCAAAGATGGTGGAGCAGGCCATGTAGGCTGTAACAGACTGTGCAAACTGAACAATCATTCCCATGAAAAGAGTAAGAAGTACCTGGGAGATCAGAAAGGCACTGTCTAAAATAGCAAAGTCTAGCCCGACACCTCGCTTCTCAAACCCAGCATCTGTGTCATCCTGGGGTTCAGTGCTACTTGGACTGTGGCCTGAGCTGACAACACTGGCAGCACTCGAGCAGAAATCGCTAGCGTCCTGGCCGAGCAGGTTCTGTCCATAGGCATCAGCTTGAGGATTCACTCGACTCTCCACATCGAGTGAGGCTAAATATATGGGGTCCCTGTTGGCTACGATTTTGTTCATGTGTATTTTAGACACGCTTTTTGGCATGTAAACCTTAAAAAAGAAAAAAAAAAGAAACATGTTACATTCAAATTAGTTACAATATACATTTCATAGTCTTCTACAAACCTCTTTTTCTTTATGGTAGTGGCAGGTAAGTGTATAAGGCAGCGTCTGTATAGTGGCGTAGGCAAAGCCAGTGAGGGCTGCCATGACTGAAACAAGTGCGACACTTTTTGACATCGAGATGACCAACGCACAAAGTGTGAAGCTCACCATACTGCTCACATAGACTTGTCGAGAGCCAAAACGCTGAACCAGTCGACTCATAATCAGAGAGAAGACTGTTGAGGTAGCACACTGCATGAACAAACCCAGGCTGCCCATGCGAATACCTTTAAAAAAAAACATTCAATTTCACACAAAAACATACTTAAAAAAATTATACATTTATATGTATATATGTATATGCGTTTATGTTTAATGCTTTAGTCCAGGGGTGTCAAAGAGGGCTACTTGAGTTTTCCAGATTTGTCCAGGAGCAGAGGACAAGGATTTCAAAACAGTTGTGACTGAATTTGTGCTGTTCTGGACTTTAAAATGGGGTATAATATATTGCACACCACAGCTACATTAGCGTATGTGGAATTTTGTGTTACGCATTGTGAAGGTCCTGAGCTTTACAACAAGGTATTGCATGACTATATTGGTAGAGCTGAAGTTGGCTGGATGACATTGTCAAAGGGCCTCAATGGCAACTTTGAGTTAACGAAAGAGGACAGCATAAAATGAAAAGCGGGCCGCAATTGGACACCCCTGCTTAGCAACTTAACTACAAATCTGAATTGGCTCCTATGCACTAGTCTGACACAGAATGCATACAAATATGCCATAATAAATTAAATGGAATAGATTTTAATTGATTGATGTATTTTTCCATAGGAAGTGGATGCATGCATCTATATTACTGACTATAAGACACACTGGTAGAGTGTGAAAAAACACTAGACTGTTTTTTTGTCAATTGAATGTCAATTGATTGTGACATTCCTTGTAGTCCAGAGTGGAGAGAGGAGAAGATAGAAGAAAAAACAAAAGCTAACAAGGACATGTGCACAGATATGAGATATAAAAAAGGTGAGAGGTTGAACAAACAGAAACATTGAAAATGTATTAAAAGGCTATAGAAAAATATGGGCATTATAATTTACTACATCCTAACCAGGAAAAATGCCTTGCATATATTGAAATCTTCATTTATTTAGTTTTACTTTTTCATCTTGCAAATGGTGATAATTTTAATGGCATAATGTTAGTATGCATGTGCAATTTTTGACTATCACCTACTTTTCAAGTCCATACAGATACATACATATAATTATTATCACAAACATTTAAAACCTGTTCATAATCATAATTATAATAATAAAAAACATACATACATACTTTTGTACATCTGGCAGTTTCCTCCAGTATATAGCTGTATGTACATTTTAATATATAATGTAAAGTTGTAAAACTGACCTTCATCATATCTTTGTCTAGAGACACTTCCTGGAGCTGCATTCGGTACTCCACTATAGAGCCCTTCACCTATAAAGTCTGTGTAGAAAAGTACAAAAGACATGACAGCCATCCAGCTGCAGAGCTGAGCCACACAAAGCTGCCTCATAACATAGGGAACATGACAGTAACTTCTGTAGATCGACCAGCACGTCTTCAGCAGGCACAAAAAAGGTCCAGACTTCCAAATCCGTAGTTTACACTTTAGGAAGTAGCAGCAAGAGCGTGGTAAACCACATCGGCCAACCTCTATCACAGGTCTTGAGTCCAATAAAGTACTGGAGCCAGTAAGAGAGCTGATGGCAAAAGATGGCTCCTCAGAAACCCTCATAGTAATCATCAGACTGGACAAAAATATTAGAATGAGCAGGAAAAAAAGGCAGTCCGCCTGCCCGCCCAGGTAAACAGAGAGAACACCGCCACTCCAGTCCAATGTAGGAAGCAAGTAACCCACACATCCACCCAGGCTGACCATACAGGAGAACATTGCAAAAGCTTGTCCACACTCTTCCTCTTCTCGATACAGGTCTGACAGCAGAGCCTCCAGTGGAGTGAAACACACATGTCCACAGAAGTCCAGAAGTCCTACACCAAGAATCAGGAAGCCCACCTGTAAATCAATGCATTTAGCATTTTATTTCCAACATAAACACTTATAAATGATGCACTACCTGGATCTTTTTTCCACCCCAGAACAGGCTTGAGGCCAGAATGTCTGCATTGGGAATGATTAAAAGTGCGATAAGAACACCCAAAGACAGCAGCCAGATGAAAGGCCGCCGTCTGCCATAACGACTGTTACAGTTGTCACTTGCTGAGCCCACAAACGGAGTGAGAAAGAGACTAAGCACTGGGCCGATACCTGTGAATACAGAACAGTGAGGGATCTGGAGTGAATCACAAATATGCATTTATTTTACTATTTCATTACATTTGCACTTTTAGGCCAATTGGGAGAGTTGCAATATTAATTTTAAGGATAAGGAAATGCAATGTTTCATCACGCCATTAGAAGGAGTGCACCATGTAGACATAGTTCAATTGTTTGGTGTAACGTTTGTGTGATAAAGCCCATGTGGATGCTTATGTGCCATGCAAGGTTTTCATCGTGCACGTTGATGCCCTATCTGGAAACAATAATGGATTATCCATCCATCCACATTTGATGCATATGCCTTTTAGATTATTTATAGTAAGCTGGAGCGTCTAAGTCTGAAACCACACCCAAACAGGTTCTATCAAAAGTTTTGTATAGTTTTGGTCTACGTTAAAGCTGTAGATCAGCTTTTTCAGTGAAAACAAGAGCGCCAGTCCTTACTCAGCCAATCAGCTCCTTTTAAAAGAGAAACCGTTTTCTACTAAGATGAAAACAGCACGTTGTGGTCGGTTCATAATGTTACTTAAACACTGTTTTATGTGAAAATGTATGCAGGTTAGACTGCATAATAATACTAAAGTAATACAATACAATAGAATAACAATAGAATAATAAAGAAAATAAAACAAAAAAACAGTGCAATTCACACACTTATTCAGACATAGGCTCAAACACTCCCTGGCCACACACCTCTCTGTGTTATGGGCATCACTCTTTCCTTCCAATACTGTAGTACTTTTTTGTTTTTAGAATTTTTAAGCAGTTTTTTATGTCATCTGATAATCCGTTCCAAGTGTCTCCACGCACTGAGATACAAATTTAATTTAAAGTAGTTCTAAACAGAAAGAGAGTTAAGAACTCCAGTTTTAATAATTTCAAAGTCAAGGTTGGGAAATGGTGCCAAATTAATTTACTAAATGCCAAACTTGCCCACAGAGCAAAACAAAATGGCAAGCTCTTATACTCACTCAAATAAGTAGACCAAATTAGATAATTTAGATTGCATAGGCATTCTATTGCTTAGGGAAATTAACTTTTATCCTCCCAAGACACAATATCTATCTTTATTCAAATAACATCATTGCACTATTCTAAAATGGGGCGATGGGAATTAGGCTGAAAGCCATTTGAGAATTTGACTCATGGTGCAGAAGGCCAGCACCATAATTATCCTTCAGTATATAAGTTAGTACTCTTTGTATTGCCTTGTTGTTTGGGAGAACTGGTTTATCATCTGTTAAGTCACAAGACAAGATTTCAAAGAGATGCTTTGAGTGAGAACCATGTGGAAGACAAGTTTGTGTAAGCCCTCAGTCGTACAGGGATTAGTCAAAGCAAAGGAAGGTTTCTCACCCATCATCTGTACTTCTTAGCAAGTTTTCCCAACGTTTCGTCCTCAACCTGGGGACTTCTTCAGGGAATGGATGACTTCTTCATTCCCTGAAGAAGTCCCCAGGTTGAGGACGAAACGTTGGGAAAACTTGCTAAGAAGTACAGATGATGGGTGAGAAACCTTCCTTTGCCATGTGGAAGACAGTTAAAAAGCTACTATTCACAGCCATCATAAATATTCATAACCTGTAGGGCAGGAGGGGAAACCTTTATCCAAGATCTACTCTTCTAGAAACCAGCAAGCAGATATCAACCTCAGTTTTAAGCAGCAATCTAACAAGTTGAATTCTAAATACAATGCAATTCAAAAAACAATATGGTCTTTCTTCTCATTGTTTTGGCTGAATATTTGCTTTTGATTTCAAATGTAAAAAAAATAAATAAGTATAATTCTTAAATATCATTGTCCATTCCCAATTACAAGCATAACCAACCGAATTCATATAGATAACTAAAAAAGTATCTAATAGGTTAAAGGTATAATCTTTTGACACACTAAACTAAGTGTATATAAATGTTGCCTTGGCTTACCTAGCACCATAGTCATGTAGCGCTCTTCCACGCCCGCTTCCAACAACAGCGGGGGTACATATGTGGTTGCAGCTGCCACACAGATCTCTAGGCCACATGTCAGGGAGTTCAGCAGGACGAGATGGCACTGAGACCTCCATTCAGGCATATTTCCCGGGCGCCTTTCCCACTTTGATGCCCACTACTGGACACAGCAGAGACCAGGCGGGTGACTGGGGCATGAAGACAGCGCCCCAGAGGGACAAGCACCGAGGACAAGGTGTGTTGATGGACTGGGAGGAGTCATTCTCGCTTCAGCATTCTATGAAGAAGAAAAAGTGAATGAAATAAAAAATAAGCCCAACTATACTTCAGACATTGGGATTCTCATCACTTTATAAGTTAAAAAAGCAATCGTAGAGAGCCACCTTACATCAAAATGTTGAGTGTTTCAGTTATGTCACAAACTAAACAGCCATGGCGATAACATCAAACTGGCTGAGGTGATAAATAATGTTAATAAATATATAGCCTTAGAAACTCATTGAAAAAATGTATCTCCATTGACTAGAGGTTAATAATTTACCCTGTGGCAGCACAAACCCCATTCTCTTGCCCTGCCCACTATATAGTCCTTTTTGAATAAACCCCCAGACATTTTGACTTTGAATATTGAAATGAAAGTGGATGAACAAGATAAGACTCCACCCTGTGCTAGCACACAAAGGCATATTTATGGTTCAGTACATTGGAACACACGTCATAATTACAGCAACAAGATGCTTTTATTGGTTGAATTCACGCTACAAATCAAGTCATTCTTGAGTTTCTGGATTTATAAAGTGCAAAGTCAGTCAGCATGGAGTTGAGTGTGTGATGCTCGACATTGCATTTCGCAATACAACTGCTTGGAATAGCTTATGAACCATTATAATAACAAAAAAACTTAAAATATCTTCATACACACAATGGACCAAAATAAAGATGGAATTGGAATGGAAGGCTATAGACAACAGAATACTGCCACGTTACAAATAATTTATGTATTTAGAACAAAAGAATCAAATTAAGAGGAGATCCTTTATTCGTCCCACAGTGGGGAAATTTCAGTGTTGCATCACAAGTTATAGAACAGTAGGAAAGAGGAGTACAAGGCACAAGATAAGTGAACAATATCTATACTAATTAAAAATACAACAAAAACTTGAACTCTAGCATCAATAACAAGAATAAAAACTCAATCTTGAAATTAATAGTAATCAAAAGAAGTGTAAAAGTTTTACATTTGGCAAAATAAGAGGCAAGTCTAAAGTACTGTGTATTCTAGTGCAAGCAATGTGGTGTTAGAATCTGAACATGTTTGCAGTAGTATGGGTACATCTGTACACTAGCAGCAGTATGTTTACATCTGTACACTAGCAGCAGTATGTTTACATCTGTACATTAGCAGCAGTATGTTTACATCTGTAAATTAGCAGCAGTATGTTTACATCTGCACATTAGCAGCAGTATGTTTACATCTGCACATTAGCAGCATTATGTTTACATCTGCACATTAGCAGCAGTATGTTTACATCTGCACATTAGCAGCAGTATGTTTACATCTGCACATTAGCAGCAGTATGTTTACATCTGCACATTAGCAGCAGTATGTTTACATCTGTAAATTAGCAGCAGTATGTTTACATCTGCACATTAGCAGCAGTATGTTTACATCTGCACATTAGCAGCAGTATGTTTACATCTGCACATTAGCAGCAGTATGTTTACATCTGTAAATTAGCAGCAGTATGTTTACATCTGTAAATTAGCAGCATGAGGCGCTCTGGGACACAGTAAAGTGACAGTGACATGTGGTTATTGCACATTCTGATATAAGTTAAGGATATTGCAACGATGCATGACACCTGGGATCAAGTTGGCAGTGTTCATTAGTCCTTATTGCTTGTTGTACAGTCAGACAGCAGCAGGAAGAAAAGACCTGCAGAACCTTTTTGTGCATTTTCCAGATGAAGATCAAATTCATTTTTGAAGTCTGATTCGGCCCACTTTCATGTCCCATTAACTGCTCTTTACAAGCAGCACAACGTTATACTGTACCGTGGTACTCCCGTACTTTAATTATTGTGTTGAAGTATGAGGAAACACGTACCAGAGTACTACAAACCCATTAGTCATATTGCAGAAACGAGCAATGCTTCATTCACAAAGTTGGGTTTCTAGATCACACTCATGAATTGGTTTTCCAGTTTAAGTTACTAAAATGTAATGATCTTGGAAAATACAATACATATATAATCCAATATAAAGCTTTTAACAAATTATTACCAATTAATCTACTCATAAACTGAGAGGATATGGAGACTTCACACTACCTAAAATTCAAACTACTCGTAAAAACTTTTGTATATCTGTACCATGGATCTATTATAATAACTGGATAGGGTATTACTAGCTTGGAGCTGAAGAACTCATGTGCTCGGGGGATTCTCGCGGTACTGCAGACCAAACCAGACTAAATTCACGTGGGCTACCCAGAGATTTTCCCCATAGAACTCAATGTAAATTAAAACAGCTCAACCTCAGCTGACAGAGAACCTACAGCTTTCAGAAATATCGGATTTTGTGGGGATTTTAGTGTCCCATGTCATCTTGAACTTTTTTTCTTCTTAAATCCTTTGGTTTGATGTCAGGCAGTGGCACGAATAACAAACGTGGGACAGGACGTGATGTACCCTGGCTGTGCAGTCTGCCGGGTTTATACCAAGCCCTGGCGATCCAAGATGGCGCCCTATTTAAATGAATGCTTGTGCTTGTCACTCCTGTATTCGTCCCGGAAACCAGATTCGTCCGGAAGTTCAGTTTGATCCAATGAGCATACGCAGCAGTAGATTACGTCACGGAATCTGGACGGAAACAAGGCAAGGCAAGGCAAGGCAAGGCAAGGCAAGTTTATTTATATAGCACAAGGCAATTCAAAGTGCTGAACAAAACAAATAATCACAGAACATTAAAAAGAAAGATAAAAATATAAAATCCCTCAGTTGTATGCACAGTTAAACAGAACTGTCTTTAACCTGGTTTTAAACATTGTCAGAGAGGAGGCCTGTCTCACATCTTCAGGAAGACTGTTCCAGATTTTAGCAGCATGAATCTGAAAAGCAGCCTCCCCATGTTTAGTTCTGACTCTGGGCACTAACAGGAGTCCAGTCCCTGTGCTCCTCAGAGTCCGGGCTGGTTCATATGGGACTAACATGTCACTAATATATTTTGGTGCGAGGCTATGGAGAGACTTGTACACAAGCAGAGCTGTTTTAAAGTCTATTCTCTGAGCCACAGGAAGCCAGTGCAGAGACCTGAGGACTGGACTAATGTGGTCGTACTTCCTGGTTCTAGTCAGGACTCGAGCTGCTGCATTTTGAATATACTGCAGCTGTTTAACAGCCTGTTTGGAGAGACCTGTGAGCAGGCCATTGCAGTAGTCTAACCTACTGGAGACAAATGCATGGATAAGAATCTCCAAGTCTGCTTTAGACACTATGTTTTTGATCCTGGCAATGTTTTTTAGATGGTAAAAAGCTGCTGATGTTACTGATTTGATGTGGCTATTAAAATTTAAGTCTGAGTCCAGTATTACCCCTAGATTTCTGACCTTGTTTGAAGGTTTTAGGGAGAGAGACTGTAGGTGACAGATGACGCTCTTTGTTTCTGGGGACCAAAGACAATCATTTCAGTTTTGTCTGCGTTTAGCTGAAGGAAGTTGTTTTGCATCCACTCACTGATCTGTTGGATACAGTGAAGGAGTGAGTCCACTGGTCCATGTTCTCCTGCAGTCAGTGAGACATAGATCTGAGTGTCGTCTGCATAGTTATGATAGGAAACTTTGTTTCTGCGTATTAACTGACCTAACGGCAGCATGTAGAGATTGAACAGAAGAGGTCCCAGGATCGACCCCTGTGGGACTCCACAGGTCAGGGCCCTATGATCTGAGACACAGTTTCCAATCTCCATAAAGTACTTCCTGTCTTCAAGGTAAGACCTAAACCAACTTAGGGCGGTGCCAGGACGCCAACCCAGTCCTCTAGTCTCTGTAAGAGGATCTCATGGTCGACGGTGTCAAAGGCAGCACTTAGATCTAACAAGATTAAGATTGAGACTTTGCCTGCGTCAGTGTTCAGCCGGATATCGTTTGTAACCTTAACGAGAGCAGTCTCAGTGCTGTGGTGGGGTCTAAAGCCGGACTGAAACATATCAAATGAGTTGTTGATTATAAGAAATCTAGTAAGCTGTAGGTAGACAACTTTCTCAAGGACTTTCCCCATAAATGGCAGATTTGAGATGGGACGATAGTTGTTAAGTACCGTAGCATCGAGACTGCTCTTTTTTAGCAGGGACCTGATGACTGCAGATTTCAGGGCCTTTGGGAATATTCCAGAATAAAGGGACATGTTTACTATCTGTGTGAGTGAAGGTAACAGACTGCTCAGAACAGACTTCAGAAATCTAGTGGGTAGTACATCCAAGCTGCATGTGGAGGAGCTCAAACTGGAGATTATCTCTTGGACAGTTTTATCATTTACAGGTGCAAAGTGAGTTAGCTCAGAGAGCCTTTCTGGCTGTTGGATGGTTATCTGTGGATTGGAGACAATGGCGTTTTTGATGCCTTGAACCTTGTCATTGAAAAAATTAGCAAACTCATTGCATTTACGTTTGGAAGTAAGCTCTAATGGCATTTGAACAGGGGGGTTTGTTAATCTATTAACTGTTGAGAACAGAACACGCAGATTGTTGCTGCAACCTTCAATCATTTCAGAAAAATACCTTTCTCTCGTACTACGTAGCACCCGGTTAAACTCGCACAACTTATCTTTGAAGATCTCGTAATCTACCTGGAGGTTGGACTTGCGCCACTTCCGCTCGGCCTTCCGGCACTTTCTCTTTTGTGCCCTGACCGAGTCTGCTTTAGCCCACGGCGCCTTCTGCTTATTTTTCACTATTTTAACCTTCACAGGGGCAACGGTATCCAGAACATTCAAAATACTAGAGGTGACAGAGTTAAACAGTTCATCTACAGTAGAATACGATGCATTCTCAAAGTTTATCATTTCCATAAATAGTTCACTCGTATTTTCATTTATGCGCCTTCTTCGAACAGTTGCAGAGTCCACT